TATCATGTGTTTATTTTCTCTCTGTAAAGCACTTTGTGCAGCCCTGTGGCAGTTGGAAACGTGCTATATAAATAAATAGAACTTGAACTTTTAAGAACACAAAAAGGTTTATCTATGGCCAAAAAACACTAATTTAAATGGATAGTTTAGCCAAAAATGAAAACTTGTTCACTATTTACTGAGCCTTAAGTGGTTCCAAAGCCTTTAGTCTAATGAGTTTTTTTTTCTTTATTTTCTTATTGTTGAACGAAGAATGTTAGAAACTGGTAAACCATTGACATCCGTAGTAGAAAAAGCAAATCCAATGGAAGTCAATTTCAAAATATCTTCTTTTGTGTTAAGCAAAAGAAAGAAACTCACAGGTTTGTGACAAGTGAAGGACGAGATAACAGGTTTCAGACTTGTGTGAACTATCCCCACCATAAACCTTTAATCAGCAATACGGAATTCCTGAAAAAAATCCTTATTAAAAGATTAAAGAGAATCAGGCCTAATTTATAAATGACCTTAAGACCTCAAAGAGAAGTGTTTGGTCATTCGATCATCAAGTGCTCAGGATTTATGCACCACACACTCATACACAAGAACAAGGCTCAAACAAATTTGCTAATTACTTTGTTTAATTCCTCCCAACTTCTAAATCAGTAATTAGCACAAATGATTATACGTTAGAACTGTTGCACAATGTCATGTTAAAGTTTGTTCCGTTTGCTTTGTTTACTTTTCAGTTTCAGTAATTAAAGTAATATTTGAGTGTTGTTAGACGTACAGCAGTCGAAAGCTTTTCTTGTTAACACCTACAGAGGCTGTAAATAACAACGGCCAGTCAAAAAGTATTAAAGAACACTCTACGGCATACTGTGTTTGACTTAGAAAACGTCTTTATAATTCTGTTAAAAGCTTTTGTAAGCGACATTCTGCAGATATTGAATATGTAAAAATAGCTATTATATTTATAAAGCAAACTGTAACCTAATGATTAGCAAGAAGCTGTAGCATTCTCTTCATTTTTCCTGCCATTTTGGTCTTGATTTTCACGGAGGCGATAAAAGCGGAATTGCAAAAACGAATTACACGCATCAGTAAAACAAGAAAACAAACAGCTGTTATTGTGCCTTATACATCTGAAATGTCAAACACAAAAATCTGTATATTTCATCAAGGAATTATTAATTGCTTCATAATAAACCTAAATTGAGTAAACATGCATCGACAAACAATCTGTTTTTTTTTCTGCGTTGCATGTGGCATCTATCACAGCGCTCATTAAAGACTTTGTTAATTAGCAGCTGGAGACAGTGGCTGAGGTGTGTACAGTGTGATTTTTTTTCTTTCTTTCTTTTTCTGCCCTCTGTAGACTATGACACTTGGATATTTGAGATAATTCCCAGCACAATTAGCAAACAGGCAGCAACTTTTCTCGCAACCCTTGTCACAATCGCACATATAGTTTATGTTACCAGATGAAAGTGTTCGGAGTAATTCTGTCCATGTAAAATTTCAGTTTTCTGACATGCTGTTGTATTGATTTTACGTTTTGTTTTCTTTCTTTTAATTTAAAGCTCAGTGTTGTTTTTGGAAAAGTTTCTCTTGTCCTTCTAGTATTGTTTGGTCAAGTTGGACAAAAAAAAATTGAAATATACAGTGTGCGGGGGCGTCACTGTGGTGCAGTGGGTAGCACGATCGCCTTGGAGCAAGAAGGTTGCTGGTTCAAACTCTGGCTGGGCCAGTTTCTGTGTGGAGTTTGCATGTTCTTCCAGTGTTGGAGTGGGTTTCCTCCGTGTTTCTCCCTGTGGTAGGTGAATTGAATAAGCTAAAGTGGCTGTGAGTGTGAGTGTATGGGTGTTTCCCAGTGTTGGGTTGCAGCCGGAAGCAGCAAAACATATGCTGAATAAGTTGATGGTTCATTCCTCTGTGGCGACCCCTAATGAATGAAGAAACTAAGCCGAAAATGAATTAATGAATTAATACAATGTGCTAATTATACATTGATGATTGGGGGAAGGGGTCAATTTTTTCAGTAGTATTGTGGTTATACATGCTTCAGTGAATCAAATTTATGAATGTATTTAAATTAGGCTACATCTAATTTATTTTAAAAAATTATCAATTTTCAGTGCTTTGAGAGATATTTAGTTACTATTTTAGAGGTTACTGTAGGTCAAACTATACAAATCATGTGTCTAATTTTAATTTTTTTAGACTACATGCAGATAAAAACAAGAAACAAGAAATCTGTTTTGTGAATACTTACAGTAAGATGTCTATTGGTGATCTAGAACTGCCAGTATCAGACTGATGAATTAGATTTTTCTTGCATTGATTAGCGCGATTATGCATTCACAATAGTATGAACTGTTTTAGGTAACATAATATAATGTATATATATATATATATATATATATATATATATATATATATATATATTACATATAAATAAATGTAAATTTATATTATACATTTTTAATTGTTAATATTTAATATATAGATCAGAGATCATTCATTAATCAATTTTCTTTTCAGCTTCAGCGGAATAAACCACCAACTTATCCAGCGTATTTTTTAGCTGGATACGTAGCAGATGCCCTTCCAGCTGCAACCCATCCCTGGACCCATACGCTCTCACATTCACACACATACACATTTTAGCTTACCCAATTCACCTGTGCCCCATGTCTTTGGAAACCGGAGCACCTGGAGGAAACCCTCACAAACATGATGAGAACATGCAATCTCCACACACGAGGCTCAAACCAGTGACCTTCTTGCTGTCAGAAATCAGAGAAAGCTATTTCTTACTATTAACGGACTGACCCCCCATACATCTTGTTTTGATGTCCTTCAGGGGATTAAGCGTTAATTAAGGGGGTCAACCCCCCTGTAATTCGCACCCTGAGAATGTTGTAAGTTCATAGGAAGAGTAGAATTTGGTGGCACGTTGAACACATACACACACAAACACAGGTCTGCTTTTGTGAATTGTGGGGGTTCCATTCCATCGGTTTCCATAATTTTTATACTGTACAAACTGTATTTTCTATCCCCCTACCGCCTACCCCAACCTTAACCCTTACCCAACCCTGTGTGCAGTGCATTCATTCATTAATTTTCCTTTGGCCTAGTTCCTTAGTTATCAAGGGTCACCACGGCAGAATAAACCAACCACCAACTATTCTGCCAAATGTTTTATTCAGCAGATGCCCTTCTAGTCGCAACCCAGTACTATGAAACACCCATACACTCTCACATTCACACATGCTCATACACTACCGCCAATTTAGTTTATCCGATTAATTTATGCATGTCTTTGAACTGTGGCGGAAACCAGAGCACCCAAAGAAAACCCCATGGAGAACATGCAAAATTCACACAGAAATGCCAGCTGGCCCAGCCGGGACTCGAATCAGCAACCTTCTTGCTGTGAGGGGACAGTTCTTCTAACCACTGAGCCACCGTGCCACCCTGTGCAGTTTTACTTTCTGAAACAACAAAAAAATAATTTTATATGATTTATAACCTTATAACACAAACCACGTACATGCACACACACACACACACACACACACACACACACACACACACACACACACACATGCAGGGGTGAAATTCTGGAGCATCAATGCTTTTTTCTGTGTGCTTCACTATAAAATATTTGTCAATTAACAGTTGACTATTGCATGTGATTCATAGATGTTTTCTGTTTATGCAAATGAAAACCGTGCGGTCGAATTGAATGGTTTCACGCCCTGTTGAACTCTCTTTTCATAAAGACTTATCAAAAAAAATAGTAGTTTGAAATGACATTTGGTTGGGCATGAAAATGGTCAGGGGCTGGCACTATGTTTGTTTTTTAAATGGATTTATTTATATATTATTTCATAACTATTTAATTTCACAAACTTTTTAAATGTTAGAACAACCATAAATCAGAAGCTGTGGGCAAATATTCTGTGATTTGACTACAATTATGATGGAGAAACTAATGCATCAAATACATATTTTAAAAGCTAGTCTAAAAAAATGTGGTCAAATCTAAAAACCCAATTAAATATACTAGCAATCAGTGCTACAATTTAGTTTTTGGCGTCACAGTGGCGCAGTGGGTGACATGATCGACTTACAACAAGAAGGTGGCTGGTTCGAGCCTTGGCTGGGTCAGTAGGCATTTCTGTGCGGAGTTTGCATGTTCTCCCCATATTCATTAATAGGTATTAAAAAACATTTTTGAAATAAATGCTGTACTGATTTAAAAAATCAAAAAATACATTATAAAGTCTGTTTTTACCCCAAGCAACACAAGTATTACTCCTAAAATTGACAAAAGGGTTAAAATTCTATCATAATAAAAAAATAATAAAACATATACAAATAACAGGTATTAAAGAAACATTGCTTATTTGTTGATTTTAATGAAACATACAAGTAAAATACAGTGCATTCATTTTCTTTCAGCTTAGTCTCTTTATTCATCAGGGGTCGCCACAGCGGAATGAACCGCCAACTCATTTAGCAAATGTTTCACACAGAGGATGCCCTTCCAGTTGCAATCCAGCACTGGGAAACATCCATACCCCCACAAACACGGGGAAAACATGCAAACTCCACACAGAAATGCCAAATGACCCAGTCGAGACTCGAACCAGCGACCTCGCTGTGGTGACAGAGCAAACCACTGAGCCACAGTGTCAAGTGCCACTCATTTTCGTCCGCAGCTGAAACAAGCTTTCCCTCAGTTTCCATAGATACAGCATCGAGCCGCATTTCTTCCTTTACGTGTTTCTCTTTAAATCATTCGTGTAGAAACGTTTAGTTTAAGGAGTTCCGCTTTCTCGAGAGCAGACGTGTTAAACAAACATAGACATTACATTGTTCAAGTAATAACATAAGCACGAACTATTCATTATGCTAGACAATTTGGTCGGTTTTGATTCACTGTTTGATTAAATATGGGACTCGTCAAATCATAATGTTTCTGTCAGGGCTAAAAAGAGTGAGGCAAACACACACTGAAAGCAGTGCAGCATGGACTGGCGAAGCAAACGCTCATGACAGCTCGTTAAAAAGTGGAGAAATCGTTTAATGTTCGGTTAGTCAGCTCGACAGTTCTCTTGTTATATACTTTCATACGGTATAAATGCGTATTATATATTTTTAAAAAGTGTTGTATGATGTTTTGGTAGTTATAACGTGACAGAGACTACATTCATGTTCAACGACCGTTTAATGTAATGTTTAAATGTATGTATTTATATTTAAACCTATTTATTGTTAGCTAGTCAGGTAATATTGAGGTAAAGTTCGTTTTATATTCGCACATTTGTTCGGTAACAACTTGTGACACGCTCCTTATATTATTTACTATGGTACTTTCAATATTCGGACTGAAATTACATGTAACTAGGCATGACTTCAAAACAACATTAGCAGCGCTATTTAACTGACTGTGAGCAATGTTTACTTCGATAGTTATTGGCTGCTAAAATGATTAGCCTATTTAGCATTAGCAAAGAATACCACTGAAATTATATTATTACGAAGAAAGTCTGAATGTGCGAATATAAAACCAACTTTACCTCTATTCAGGTAATAAAAATATTATATTTGTCGATATGAAAGCATGTATGTTATAGATACAAAGCTAAATAAACAACTAGATGCCCTGCACTTTCTTGATTATGTTTTGAGCTAGTACTTGATAATTTATTTACATTTTCTCTTCACGTTCTGCAGGATTATGGCAGATTATAACGCTCCACAAAAAGACTGGTACTTAATACTTGGAGCCTGTCCAACAGATGACTTACAAGTGCTGAAACAGAAGTATCAGAAACTTGTCCTCATGGTAGGTGTTCAGCAAGTATTATAATTATAGATCAAGACTTTTTAAACCAGAAGACATATCATATTAGGTTAGTTGCAAAAGTTATCATAATGCTTTGATTGATTTAGAAAACAAAACAAAACAATATTGTGTATAGAAAGCAGTGGTGGACAGAGTACTGAAAAGTCATACTTATGTAAAAGTACCATTACTTGATTAAATTCTAGTGCAAGTAGAGTAAAAGTTTCTGTTGTAAATATTACTCAAACTATAAGTACAAAGTAGCCCTTTTAAAAGTAGAGTAGTAAGTATTACATTTTTAAAAGCTGATGCATTTACATGTAATTTATGGATGTGTGTAAACGCAATATTCTGTAGTGCATTTAGCGATTGCCTAGCAGGCACACAACATCAGACGTTAAAGGTGCAGTAGGTGATCTTCCACAATGCTAAGAGCTTAGCATAAATCTCTGAATCACAGTCCCTACTCTGCCATCTAGAGCCACGCCTCCTTAAACACGAGCTCAGCAAAAGAACCCTCTCTCATGTGTTAAAAACGACTTGTGCTTGTCCGGCGGCGTACAATCCAAACTGACTTGCTATTTCAGAGCAAATAGTCAGAGTTGCATGGTAAAAAATATAGGGAGAGACTAGGCGGAATAGCGGTATTTACTTGTGTTTTGTTGTTAAACTAATTAAAATCTACATCATCAAAGGTCCCTTATGAAACTGAAAATAGTCTTATCAATCTTTGATCGGAAGATTTTAGTGGCTGAACAACACTTCTGGTGAAGCAGTGGCGCAGTAGGTAGTGCTGTTGCCTCACAGCAAGAAGGTCGCTGGTTCGATCCTCAGCTCAGTTGGTGTTTTTGTGTGGAGTTTGCATGTTCTCCCTGCGTTTGTGTGGGTTTCCTCCTGGTGCACCGGTTTCCCCCACAGTCCAAAGACATGTGGTACAGGTGAATTGGGTTGGTTAACCCTCAGGGGTCGAAGACCGCGTATACGCGTTTTGACCTGTGGTGGCATCAAACTGCTGAAATGAACTTAAATAACACTTTCAGTTTTGATCGTACAGATAAGATCAATACATCAATTGAATCTGTTATGTGTCTACTTTTTGTTGTGTACACTCACAACAACAACAAACGTGTGTGCTTTTGCAAAATAAGGAAAACAAACAGTGTAGGCATTCTGTCTTTTCTCTCTTCGTGAACTGCTTTTCAGAAATGTGTCAGTAAAATAAACTAAAACTCCGTGAATACAAAACGCACACAGATGAGACATGCATTTCTAGAAAGCTTAAAGTGTCTACTTTCAAACGCAGCTATGCATGTTGAAAACAAACATTGCTTGATAAAGTAATCGGTATAAAACCAATGCTATGTCTAGTTTCTCAGTCTGATCTCATTAGTTTTAATGCAACCACGCCTACGAGGCATTGTTATTACAAGCGTCTGTAGACGCGAGCAGACTGTGGTCAGAAAAACACGTCACTAAAATGAAAGGAAACTCGGCAAATAGTCAACAAAGATGATGATTATGACATCTATATAAAGCTTGATATTCTACTTTTGCATTAACCAATTCAAGTTGAAAACAAATGATCTCCTTTTATGTAATCCGTATAAAAGTAAGGACTCCTATATTGCCTCATTACAGCAGCGTGGTCCCGCCTCTCAGTAAGCGCGCTTCATGTGTAAATCCAGATGTAAAAACAACGGAGGTAAAGGACCAGTGGCAAAGAGAGCTAAAGTAGACAAGAAGTACTCCGGGTTTGCTCAGTAATGAAAGTAATGTTGCTCTGTGTCATTCCGACAAACTATTAGATGAAGATGTAGCCTTCAACTTCACAAAATGTTTAAAAATGCTACAAAAGTGGACCAAGTAATCTTGCGTCTGTGAGTCTCCGCTGATGTCAAAAAGAAGGCCAGTTGTTACAATGAAATACTGCCTTTTTCCTGCACTGCTCCCCATCACAGGACACCTGTCTGCAGGGTCACATTTCTAAGTGTCCTTTGTAAGTTTATTCTTTAAATAATTACTGTGAATACCGAATGAGAGGATGATCACTTGCGCCAAAAGCTGCTGTGATGCACGGGACTGTTTAAAAGATTTTATTATCGCACATGGTGTGTTTTTCACCCGCTTTCTTTTGCTCGCAGTAATTTTTGTTAATATGGATTAATTATCATTCTTTAAAATAACATTGCTCTAATATGAGATTACCAAAACTAACTCAGAATCTTATTATTATAATTCAAACTTTGCATATACTATTCCATATATTATAATGTATTGTTTTTTTAACCAATTTAAGATGTTTGACAATGTTAAAATAATATGTTTTTGACTTATGGCATGTTTTTGACTTAATAACCTATTTTTAGACATAGTGTTAAATAAAAATTTACACAGTACACTTTATAGAATGTACTGACTCTCACAGGTGTATCTTCAGTTATTTTGTGTGATTAATATATTTTAAATAAACTGCAAACAAAAAAGTAAATAAACTTTCCTCTGATTCCTTCTTGAAACTCTTCCCTCCTAGTCACATACTTTTCTGATGGCTCATTATGCAGCTCATTATGCAGGTCTTTGTCTTCTCAGGTGTGACTCACTGCATAGTAATGATAGTTCACACCTTCCCGCATAAACCAATTTCACTCAAAAAGTGACTTAGAAATTTAAATTCATTATATTGTTTTCTGTGAGCAAGTGAACAAGATGATTCTCACATAATTTTGAAGCAAAAACACTAGACTACCAGATCCAGTTATCAAAAGTCTTGTGCACAAATGTTCTCTGTGTGTTTCATGTCCTTGTTTCAGTGACTTCAAAATTTTAGTTTTTCACTAACCACGCATAAACGTTTCTTTCTCAAAAACACAAACACATACGAACATGCTGCTTAGGTATTATTGTAGCCCAACTTGTGCAGTTTACAGTGTTATCACACTTTAGCCATTTATATGTTTTTAAAATACTGAAAACAACACAAATGTCAGTGCATGTCAAAACTTCTCCAGAGCCCCAAAACACCCTTAGACCCCAGAGGGTTAAATTGTCCGTAGTGTATGAGTGTGTTTATGAGTGTTTGTGGATATTTCCCAGAGATGGGTTGTGGCTGGAAGGGCATTCGCTGTGTAAAAAGTGCTGGATAAGTTGGCAGTTCATTCTGCTGTGGCGAAACCGGATTAATAAAGGGATTAAGCCGACAAGAAAATAAATGAATGAAATGAGTTTTAAAACAGAACATTACCTGTCTAAGAGAAATCCTTCAGTCATTGTGTCATCCTTTCTCCATCGTGCAAAGGTAACTCTAATACAGATTTAGGTTTTTAAAATTTTTGATTTAGCATGTTTTTACCGATCACTCTCTCTCGTGAACGCGCGTCAGTTGACGGAGCTGCGTACAAACGGCTGCACAGTTGTTCAAATCTGCATTTGCTGATAGACAGATTAGGCTACTTATCAGAATTATGAGAGATGTCGGTCCGACTCTATTTAATTGGATGAACATTTTTAGTTTTATGCCTTACCCAAAATATAAAAATACACATAAATACATTTAGATCACTTACTTTAATCATTACTATTAGACTGTGAAGAGACTTTCAACCAGCACAACAAAAAATGCTTCTGAAGACAATTACCTACTGCACCTTTAATATTAGGTTAGATTTATTACATGATTTCAGATGACCAAAATTCAATTTCTAGCCAGTGTCTAAGGAGAACATTATTTTGATCACCAATAACAACGCCAAATGACATTGATATTTGCTTGATTTTTAGCTTGTGTTTGGAAAGTGACCGTATTAAATCATGTTGATTTCAAAAGCTGACATTTATTAGTCAGGTATGGCAACCAAAATCCAAATTCTGATAGATGTCATATTGGTAATGTCCACACAACATCAAGCTGTAACCACATTAGATGTTGATATTTGGTTGATTTTAGGTTGGTTGACATTAACGTCGACCTGACCTTGAGTTCTGATGTCAAACAGATTTTTACTCACAAACAAAACACAACATCTAACAACATTAAGGTACAGTGCCAATCTAATGTCAAGTTGACGTCTTGTGCCTGCTGGTTATTTAAGCCATTTTGGTCATCATACAATAAACATCCGTCATCTTCTCATCAGTGACATGAATCTAAACAGTCTCTGGGTCAATGCGTCTAAGGATTTTGGACATATTCTTGAACATTTTTAATGCTTCCAAACTGTTTGCTGCAACTATAAAGGACCCATGTTTTGAGGTAGTTCATTATGACGTGATTTACCTTCTTTGTGCGATTTGATTGCAATCACAGGTCAGATTTTACCAACCCCCATTCATTCATTTTCTTGTTGGCTTGGTCCCTTTATTAATCCGTGGTCGCCACAGCGGAATGAACCGCCAACTTATGCAGCAAGTTTTTACACAGCGGATGCCCTTCCAGCCGCAACCCATATCTCTGAAACATCCATACACACATTTACACACACACACTCATACACTACGGACAATTTAGCTTACCCAATTCACCTGTACCGCATGTCTTTGGACTGTGGGGGAAACCGGAGCACCCGGAGGAAACCCACGTGAAGGCAGGGAGAACATGCAAACTCCACACAAACTCCAAACTGAGCCGAGATTCGAGCCAGCGACCTTCTTGCTGTGAGGCGACAGCACTACCTACTGCGCCACTGCCTCGCCCCCCCAACCCCCATAAATAAACTAGTGACTGCAGGTGGAAGGAAAGTAGTGGAGTTATATGGTTTTGCAAGAAATAAATATGTAGGTTTCATAATTTTGGACTGTTTTTGAGCAGTCATCATGAGTTCAAATGTAATCAAATTCACATAAATTTAAGAGTATACGTTTAATGTAATTACATTTCATGAGGTCAGTTCTAATAATAATTGGTTTTATTTACACTTCATATAATGATGTAATCAGTCGATCGAATACTAATAAAATATATTATTGCATTATATATTTTTTTGTTTATGTGTTACTTCAAATATCTAAGATTTTTTTTCTTTAACCTGTTAGCCAACACCAAACATGGGTATGTACACCTACCTAAAGTAAAATAGCAGTTGTTGATCCCAGTGAGCTACAAACAAAAATTAGGTATCATTGGAAAGAAGACATTTTGAGCTTTACTATCTAGAGCCTTGAAAAAAACTTTATACATTATGAAGTAATGAGAATGAAAAATTGTACTGTTCAATATTTGTTTTTTCATATACAAAATGACCCCCCCCCCCACCTAAAAAACCCAAAACTTTATGGCTGCTTCATAAAATACCAGTCCTTCAGAATGTTAGAGTACAGATTTAAAGTTTTTTAATGAAGATTCAAATATTCCTGCAATACTAATGATCAGTCTGTAGGCCTTCAAATTGTCTTATTTACCTAATTCACTTAAATTATTGCCACTAATAAATGGGATCATTAGAATTACAATGATATAATGCTTTTTAATATTCTGACTTGGATTATACATTTTATTAATAATTGAGCATCAGTAATATTTTATGCAAATCAGTATATTAGAATTATTTCTTATGCTGTTTATGAACAAAAAAAAAAAAGGAAATTTAAATAGTTATAACATATTAATGATCCATTAATTATTTATTTTTTGGTTAATTTATATATTGGTTAATCTCTTCCAAGATAATATTTAATTTACATAATAGAGACTAACAAGCAGCTTTGATACTTCTAATATCGTAAATTAATTAGATTTTTTATTATTATTGATATGCTTAGGTTTTTTATTTTATTTTTATTTTTTAGAAAATGTTGCTCATTGGAGTCAAAGAGACTAAGAGCTACTGCCATAATAAATGCTTAATACACAATAAATTCTGCATATCTACTGAGCCCAGAAAGATAAAATGCATAGCGAGATCAAGATTATGCAGATCGTTCTTGATTCTCTCGACAAAGTTCCCTCCAAGGGCAAATTGTTCTTGCTAAATACGAGCTCGGGGAAACATACGCACAATTAATCAATGGCATCAGTATTTCTCATTAATGCACATTGCAGGTTGACTTATTGCAGTCAAGTTATACTTAAGCTGATTTGTTTAATCCCAAACCCATTTTGATTACAGCAATCACATAACACCAGTCGATCAATCAGGATGTGCGCCGTGCAATTTGTTGAATCAGTTTGAGGGCCACTGTCCAATGCCTTATGCAATATACAGCTGAGAAGTGATTGGTAATGACAGTCACATTGTTTTATAAAAAGACAAAATCAGATAAAAAACAGTTTCTTATTAAATTTCTCAGAAATTAAAGCCAGTTTTGTAGCATTATAACCAAATAGTCATTTACAAAGTAATTTATGTGAATCTTTATGCTTTTTTTGTCAATTGTCATATTTTAAAGAATTTTTCAAATCACACACACACATATACTAAATGTGTGAGATGTAATAAAGAATGAGACACATTTTATACTTGATCTTGTAATCATAGTAACATTCATTTATAACTGATTGTTGTAAAGCACCTCAAGTTTATGAAGCCAAAAGAATCATAAAATACGCTTTTATAAATGAATGTTCTTCAGCTAAATTATATTCTTTCTGATAAGCAGTTTCTCTTAAAGAGTCAATACTACTAAAAGGGTTTGAATGTTAACAATATTATATTGCGTTATTTCATTTACCCCCAGTTTCTTTTTTAATTCTGATAAATGCACAAAGAAAGATTCAAAATAGACTTGAATTTAAATGGTTAATATAATTTAATTTACATACCTTATTATAAATTGCTTATTTTTAATAAAAATCACTACATTTTCAATAGTCAATAAGCTATTTAACAAAATATTTTGCATTTGTTGCATTGTACGTTAAAAAAAAAAGTTTTTTGATACTTATACATCTTTAGAGAACGAAAAAGAAGACATCTGAACATCCAAAATGACATGAACACAAAGTGTGTAACTTTTGTTGAAATCCTGTCTGTTTAAAAAATAATGAATAATAATAATTTTACAATCTCTACCAGCAAAACATGGACACGAATGAGTTAAAGAGCTAAAACAACCCAAAAACCTGTAATACTGAGGATTACAGTCTGCATTCACATCATTGCCATCTTCATTGACTCAGAGATCAGTCTGGCAGTAGGTGGCAGTAGTGTGATGGCAGTAGCCTTTATGCCCTGTGTCTCTCCGCTGAAGCACAGAGAGCGGCTGGCACACGAAGCCCAGCAGAGGCTGTGGCAGTGCTCCCTTCACAGCCTTGGAGAGATGATGATGTATTGTTAGAGCTGGCGAGTGCTCCAAATTGCCCAGCCCTTTATATTGTGTTCTTGCTCTCCAAGCTCCATTAGCCCCAGTAAATGAATATTTTACAATGCGTGCAAAGAGACAGCAATTAAAGCGTGTAACTCCAGAGGGGCAGGAGGACGGACCGCTCTAACTGAGCTCCAGCCTCTAGTTGTGTTATGTATTTATAACATTTACCTGAGCTGCGCCGAGTGGAAGTTGTAGAGTGACATTATTGAAAGATGTGAGATTACCAGCCTCATGTTTGTAATGTTGAGTCTGCAATAAAAACAAACAAACATTTTTTTTTGCTCGTTCAAACTACTTATTTAATATGAGCTGAAACAACACATATCTTGAGATTTCATTGTGTCCACTTCATTTTTTATGTTTAATCCACATAATTTTTTTTTTTTTGATTGGTACAAGTTATCTTAATTGAGACACCTTTTACAGTGTTAATGCATAATGAAATGATTTTTAGGAGATGGTTACCTAAGCATTTACCTTCAAATGTGTTTAGAGGATGATTTAATATTATAGAGTTTACACAAGTGTATAAAAAAACATTTAATTACAAATAATTACAGAATAAATATTTATGTAATAATAATTACAAAAGAATCAACAAGTAATATGTTAATTTAAGCGTGTAGTGTTGAAATAGAAAGACAAATATTTTCCTGAAAAATAAATTTAATGTGTAAACAAGTATTAAAGCATCTAAATGCAAATATTAAGCAATAAATATAAAATAAGCATGAAAAATAATCAGATTTTTATTTTAAAACTGTGCACAGATTTTAAAAGAATTATATGCAGCATAAAATAAACATATTATACAGTAGTCAACTTTCAAAATGTGAATCAAAAATGTTTTTCAGAATTCCTAGGACAAGAATGGGTGTTCTTCAATAGTTTTAGGACAACTTTGATGAAATTTGATGATACACTTCAAATGTTGACTGCTGTACTACTGTTTCTTTTTGTATGCAGCATTCATTCATTTTCTCTTCGGCTTAGTCCCTTTAATAATCTGGGGTCACCACAGCGGAATGAACAGCAAACTTATCTACACACATACACCATGGACAATTTTTGATACCCAATTGACCTATACCGCATGTCTTTAGACTTGTGGGCAAAACCGGAGCACCTGAAGGAAACCCACGTGAACACGGGGAGAACATGCAAACTCCACACAGAAATGCCACCCACCCAGCCGAGGCTTGAATCAGCGACCTTCTTGCTATGAGGCAATCATGCTACCCACTACGCCACTGTCACTCATGTATGTAGTATATATTTTGATAATATAATAAAATGAAAAAATGAGCTTAATAAGATTGTTTTTAACTGTTTAAAATAGCAGAAAAGACTTTAATAGCTGTACGAAAATAGATTTATTTTAGTATTATTTATTAGTTTATAGTTATAATGATAATATTTATATTTATTAGTTGTATTATTATAAAGTAATAATTTTTTGTTGAGCAATACATTTGCATATTAGAATGATTTCTAATTTAGCTTTGTTTTAGGAAGAACTGAGTTCAATGAAAAGAACTCTAATGATATTTTCAATATTAAATATTGAATGTTTTTATCAAATTTTAGTCATTTAAAATGCTGAAGAAATATAATTAACCCCAGCTTGTAAACCATAGTCTTTGTGTTTAGTTATTATCCATAATATTATGTAATAAATCAAACATTAATCATGCATGATACAAACACATTTAAGAAATTAAACCTGTATATACAAAAAAACTAAACAAAAACGCATGTTGATTTAAAGAAAAATTTTTTTTCTACATTCAGCCCAGCGTTTCCTCATCTTTTCATCAGACACTCAATCAGACACTCAGTTACGACAGACTTGAAACCCGGTTCACAGGGACTGTCTATTTGACAAAAGGCTACCCAGTGAGATGTTTGTGGAGCAGCGGTATGTGCTTGCCAGGGCTAAGCTGCACTTCACACCTGTGGTCCTGACTCCTCAAGCTCACCTACAAAGAGTAGAGGGAAGCAAAACCCTATCTCCGATTGCGCCACTGGGGAGAGAGTCTAATTCGCTGGCAGAATCTGGCGTCCTGCTGGAGGTAACAGAGAAATTGTGCTGCCAAGCTTGCTCGACCATTCTCAAGGTTCAGAAACAGAGCTGCTTTTCTGTTTCTGTGCTGCTGGCTGAGAATAGATATAAACATATTGCATTGGGGGAAAAGTGAGGGTTCAGATTGCCACACCACAGAAACAAAAGCAGGGGGCGTAATGTAGTTTCGTTCAAAGATTTTGCGTAAGGAAGTTTTACTAAATAGGTTATTATTGTACCTAAAAACACCTAAACATAATGATGTGCTATTATATAGGCTTTTTTGTTGGTCAGAATATTGGTCAGAATATCTGTGTTGTAAAAGTTAAATAATATGCTTAAAGTTTAAAGGGTTATGTAGTTTATTTAAGCACTTTAAGTCTGGTGGGACGTTTACATGTCACTTTCAACTAAAAAATTTCATTTGTAATGTATTTTGGCTGTTTATTTATACAACGACAGCTATACATGATACATGATACATGATAATGGGGTCATTATTTGGGCCACTCAGAATCCGTAGATTTTTAGCCCATGATTGAATTTATTTACTTATGCAAATATATGTAAATATATATTTATTCACTTTGTATAATAATTTTCAGGATTATCTATCTAGATTTTGCGAACATGACTTTTTCTGCAATGTGGAAGTAAACTATTTTCTGCGATTGTTTTACAACTTCTAATTCGTTTTAATCTGCCTTTCCACTGCACACGACAAACGACAAGCAACAGATCGGAAGTCGTTCATTTCCAGTGGAAAATTCTTATGCAGAAAATTCGGATCCGATTTGAGCTGTGGATCCATTAAAATATTTGAACTATTGCGACTTGACCATATGCGACCAGTCGACCAGATGTGATGTATTTCAGGGTTGTCCAAGCAAGTCCATGCACGTGAGATAAGAACTAGTGGTTTTCCGTAATTTTTTTTTTATTATAAAAAAGTCTATATTAAAAAAAATTATAATAATTTTTTATTCAAAAAATGAGTAATAAAAAGTTATATTATTTTTAATATTGTCTCCACATTCCCTTCAAAATTTACAGCAGTCAATAATACGTATTCTTTCATTCATTCATTCATTCAACCATGGTGAACTCACAGAGAATATAGGCTTTTGCTTTTGCACATTTTTATTTCGGACACGACCATGAGAACCAGATTACTATGGTGCACGACAAAACTGAATATTATGTGCGGCTGTCACAAGGGGGTGTATTCCGACAGTCACGTCCGATTGTCGTGTGCAGTGAAAAGGCAGCTTCAAACTAGGAATGATAAATAAAAGTAAACGGTTGAACTACTTTCCCTACAAACAGATCTGTTTATAAAAGTACATAAAAAACTTATTGTAAAAAAATTAAAAAGTACACATTTACAAGGACGCATTCTGCTTTCGCAGTCTCCCGAGTTTGTTCCTCCAAGGTAACTTGGCAAGAACGGACTCCACTAGAACATGTGTCCATTCTCAGTGTTCTTGGAGTAGAGAAACAGCCATAGTTTTAATTTAGTGACATCGCCATCTACGGACTTGGCATGCAAAATACAGCATTTCCTCTCAAAGTGCAAATTTTTTAAAAAACTGAGACCATTCTGAACATAATGCAAATTCCAAATCATGGTTTTGTTGGCTTTTAGTCTATAGGTATGCGCAAGTACTTGCTTTTTAATTTTTAGTACCATCGTCATTTCGTAGTGCCCTTATTTTTATATTTTATATAAGAGGCATCATATAATATAATATTTAATAGTGATGTTTCCAGTTCTATTCTAAATAGCTTTGCTGATTTAAAGTTTCACTTACGACTTTGCTTTAGCTGTTTAACTCTGGTCATTCTCTGATCCTCTGATCTGAAGCGTCCTAAACACAAATCGATTTAATCCTCTTAGCTGGTATCCTGTGCAGTTCCTAATCTTAATGTCTTCTTTACTCTGGTACTTTTAATTAAACAGAGATTTGACTGCAGAGGGATGTTTTTCCCGCATTTTACCACCTTGGAATCTGTAATATCGGCGTGTGAATGC